CGAAACGACAGGTGGTGGGGCGCTGAGAAACTACGTGTACACATAAAAATACCCGAGATCTCGAGAAAATTTACACAGGATGGCAAGATCCCGAGAACATTAACTCGAATTCTCGTGATCTTTAACACAGGATGGGAGATTCTCGAGAAAATTATTAGGGGATTTCGAGAACACTCATTTGAGATCTCGAGAAAGTATCACAGTATCGCAGAATCTCGAGGTCTTCTACAAAGTTTGCATGACCCCTATACGCTTCCGTATTACGAAACCATTTCCTTTATGAACTTGCTCTCATAAAGTTCAATTTGAAATTGAGTTTTATATAATACGAACAAAACTAAAATAAAAGTAATTTCTAACATCTGGTTATTCCAGTCTACACCGATAGTATTTATTGCGCATGCTCCCCAGATAAGAAAAATGGCGTCACCTTTTGACATAAGTTGTGGAATATGCCCTGATTCGTTCTTCAAGTCCCCTGTTACAAATGACTCTGAAACGCATTATGGTAAAAGATTCGTATACCAATGGTAAAATGTTTAATTGGATATCAGAAGCCCATCTTTTTTCGGTAAGATCATAACATCAATGTTGATTTAAATTGACAAATAATTCGTGTTTTCAATGTCGAAGAACATAGATCGTATTGCCTATATAGTTGTTCGCCGATCGTTATCTCGTCGAAAAGCAGTTTTATTTAAGTGGACATAAAATTTATGTCATATAATATGATGATAGTTATTGATTTGGTAATTAAATTTAATAGTGGCTATAACATTGAGCAACCTGAGAAAATTTTGAAAAATTGAACCAATATCCTGGCCCTTGAGGTCATTGCTGGGAGCAAATTCTTGTGAACAAGACAAGAGAACCAGACCTCGAGATCCTGCGATCCTGTAATACTTTCTCGAGATCTCAATTTAATGTTCTCGAAATCCCCTAATAATTTTCTCGAGAATCTCCCATCCTGTGTTAACGATCACGAGAATTCGAGTTAATGTTCTCGGGATCTTGCCATCCTGTGTAAATTTTCTCGAGATCTCGGGTATTTTTATGTGTACACGTAGTTTCTCAGCGACCCACAACCTGTCGTTTCGGAGTTTACCCCCCCCCCCCCCCACACACACACACTTTCCCGGAAACCTTAATAGCACGATAGAGCCTACAGTTTAGTGCAAAGCATTGGGGCCATGAGAGGACGGCCCCTCAAATATGTGACGATGAGAGGACGAACCCTATCGATATTACCCCTCCCCGCCCGCCCGCCCGCTGAAAGCCTTGTTCACGCCATAGAGGGTTTACTTTTACAATTTTTTGTGAAGCTTTGGGGTCATGAACTTTATTGATATTCAATGGTTAGCGGCCTTCTGTTCCGGAGTTAAATTTTCCATTCTTTGAAAAACTTGTTTGTAACGGATTTTCTAAATTCAATGTTCCGCGACAAGGATAACCCCTGTTAATTTTCAACAATATAAGGTTTTCTGTCCCAGCGATATAACAAGCACTGACCACGATAGAGATTAGATTTCTTGAAGAATGCTAGATCCTTATTCAATTTATTAAACAACCAAATTTTGCTTTCGAATAATCTGCTGTTGAGGCATAGATGCAGCGTGGGCGTGTCTCCACAGTTTGCGTGGCTATCGTTCAAATTTCTTTTGAGTCATTAGTGTCATAAGCAGAAGAACCCTATTTATTTTCGGCGGAACAATGGACCCTATTGATTTGCAGCGCTCCCTGGCGTTTTGTTATGGCGTTATTCCTATTTTCCGGTAAACCTTGTGAACGCGTTAGAGCCGCTAACCATTGAATATCAATAAAGTTCTAGACCCCAAAGCTTCACACAAAATTGTAAAAGTGAACCTTCTACGGCGTGAACAAGGCTTTCGGGGGGGCGGAGGGGGGGGGGGTCTATTAAGGAACAAAAGTTCACCAAATGCTGAATATCGATAGGGTTCGTCCTCTAATCGTCACATATTTGAGAGAAATACAGACAAAGTTTGCGGAGTACTGAAAATCGAAAGGTCCTAGTGCTTCACACCACATTTAAAAAACAAAATCAGTTAAAAAGGGTAGCCTCTATTGCGTTAACAAGTTTTTCGGATAAGGGGGATAACTCCAGAACGATAAGATGCGCTAGAAGCTAGAAGCGGCAGGCGCCGTCCTCTCATGGCCCCAATGCTTTGCACTAAGCTGTAGACTCTATTGTGCTATTAAGTTTTCGGGAAAGTGTGTGTGTTGGGGGGCGGGGTAAACTCCGAAACGACAGGTGGTGGGGCGCTGAGAAACTACGTGTACACATAAAAATACCCGAGATCTCGAGAAAATTTACACAGGATGGCAAGATCCCGAGAACATTAACTCGAATTCTCGTGATCTTTAACACAGGATGGGAGATTCTCGAGAAAATTATTAGGGGATTTCGAGAACACTCATTTGAGATCTCGAGAAAGTATCACAGTATCGCAGAATCTCGAGGTCTTCTACAAAGTTTGCATGACCCCTATACGCTTCCGTATTACGAAACCATTTCCTTTATGAACTTGCTCTCATAAAGTTCAATTTGAAATTGAGTTTTATATAATACGAACAAAACTAAAATAAAAGTAATTTCAAAACTTGCAATTTCAACATACCTTTCTATAACAGGAACATTGTCCAGAATTAACAGGTAAAATACAATCTGTTCCATCAATATACATTTTACATGATAAATCTGATTTACAATAAAGATATCTTCTACAATCTGTGTCTTGTGAACAAGCCATCGAACACCGGAGACGATTATCGACCTTTATTTCTTGTAGCAAATTATCAAAAGGACAGGTATTGATAATAATAGACGTTTTTGTAAAATTGCTATAACGTAAGCTTGCCACTGTGTAAAACAGAGTAACAAATGCTGTGTATTGCAAAACCTTAGATTGTGCCATGGCTGAAAGCAAAAACAGGAGCTCTCACGGACAACTGCTCATCCCTCAATAACACAAACTGTCTCTTACTTCAAAAGTAGCGGGTCGTTAATATTGACCGGTTTTCTTAAAGATACATTCCCAAGAAAGTATTGATCGAGTAATTATTTCCAATACAAGTATGGCCATATTTTGTGTGTGTGTGTGTGTGTGTGTGTGTGTATATATATATATATATATGTGCAAAGTAGTGACACTTAGTCTTACTAGAAAAATGTTGCGTTCCCTGAAAAACATTTATAAACAAAATATATAATACTCATTTCATAAATCTATTATGTCTAAAGCAAACAATTAAATACTGTACCTAACTTTAAAACTAGATAAAATGAAACTATGATAAATGTTTGTATTACAATAAGTATAACTGGTTTGTTAATTTCTTCACTAAATGTGTTTTTTTTTTATTACAAGAGAAAGTTTTGAAGAAAATGATTTTCTTTTCTATGTTCAATATCTTGCGGAAGTCTTATGGAACAAAACACCACAGACAAAAACCACTCTATCATAATTATTTGTGGGAAATGAAATGAAATCACGAATTACAGTATTAAATATTGGGCCATTATAATTAATATTCATTTTGTCATCTCACCGCGACAATAATTTAAGTTAAACACAACAAATTTACAACAGTTATATTCTAAGCAACATAAGATCGTACGTTTTGCACGTTTTCACTGTCCCAGGTTTCTGTGTGTAATATTTCACTTCATAAGTTCCACAAGATATTAGATTTGTAAAATAAAATGACAGACAGTCGACTAAATATATTCTGAGTCTGTGGTGTGTAATTTTGATAAGTATTTTTAGTCTGTGGTGAGTCTTTTTTTTTACCAAAATAGTTCCGCAAGTCTGATTATGATTGTCTAGGTAAATATTATTTATATTATTGACAGCGAGTCATTTGTAAAAACCCAACATATTTATACATATTATATCCATACAGTGTGCAATGAAGGAACAACCCTTTCCCAGACTGCAGCACTACAACCTACTCATATAGAATTCCAGTGTCTTTTTACGCACACGCCAATGTATACACGGGACTTCGGTTGTTCGTCCCACCCGAACGACTATACGTTGCTCCTTGCCAGCCCTCTGTCCTGCACCACTGACAAATGGGAACCACGTGGGAAAATCCCGATGAACCCGGGATCGAACACGGGACTTCAAGGTTAGCCAGCCAACGTCGTACTCACAGAGCCACCACAGCTCTCCACGACCAACATTGTAGATAACTTTATTTATCACCCAATAATACATTCTACAGTAGATATCGCTTGTGTGATAAATTTCATAATCTACTGCGATATCTCGTTTACATGAATTTGATTGGTGAATCTAGAAGGAACTACTTTTTTATTTTCAAAGAAGAGTTCATTTTTAACTTCTTTCTTATTAAAAAAGGAACTATTTTTTATTTAATTGACTTTCAGGGAAACACTGTGTCAATATAAAGGACTTTGCAATGGTTGAATTGCTGTCAAAAAATGATGTATCACTACGCCGTAATGTAATCAGGTTCAGTAAAAGTGAACTCTATAGCAACGAATTATATGTATTTATTTGTGCATGTAAGAAAGGATTGAGTGATAAATAAAATCTCCTACTCGCCTTTACTTTATCGACTTGTGTTGATATTTAAAAAAGACTGGTAGGAGATTCCCTTTTTACACTAGACACAGGTAAAGAAGCACAACTGCATTTATAAGTCACGATATAACAATAAACGGCCTTGTAGAAGAATACATTCTGAGTATAAAACAGCCACACCCCACCCTTTCCTTTATTCAATAGTTTATCTAGTCGATCTATTGAAAGAGAGTAAAATAGGGCATGGCCGTAGTGGTTATCTCGTGTTACTCTATAAACAAGTATATACACAATACTTGTGATGTAAAATAGTTTTTATACGAATTCCTTTCAACTATTTTTTTATGCATCGAGATATTTCAACGTATAAAAAGAAATACTTATTTCCTGAAATAGTATTGAAGACATAGTTAATTTGTCATAAGATACAGAGTAAAATTAAAGAGCTTCTCTGTAAGTAATCTGACATTAACGTATCGGTTATGAAGGATTGATAGTGGCCATTACCAATAGATCAACATAAAGATGGACCGATTTGCGTTTATTTGTCTACTGTTGTGCATATATGTAGATTGTAAGTATATATTGCTCATTTTCATACTGTTTTAAATATTCATTCAAAATCGAAATGATATATGTTGTCGTTTTTCAAAACAGAATCATACGCCATTATATCCATACATTATACTCCTATGTAGATGACCTGAACAGATGAGGCCAAACACTCAAGTGAAATAAATATCACTAAATGCAAACTATTTTATCTTACTTTAAATTTTCGACAGTGATGCAGGACGGAGGGCCTGACAAAGACAGCTGTCTAGTCGTTCGGATGGAACGAAAAACCGAGGTCCCGTGTACACATTGGCGTGCACGTTAAAGATCCCTTGACAGTTGGAATTCGATATAAGAGTAGGCCGTAGTGCCGCTGTTCGGGCAAAATTTCCCTCATAGCACACTGTATGGCGTATGCCCGTCTTCATTAACCCAGTTCGGAGCAGAACAGTAGGACGTTAAACCCCATTTCATTTCATTTCAATTAAATTTTCGATCAGACAACTATATGAATTTTATTTATATTAGTAATAACTACCTTACTTATGCACATGATAGCTAACGTATATCGAAAAATCCCTTCATTTCTTTAAATTTATCGATTGATCCATAGTGTTCTTATTGTTCTTATTTTCTCAGATGCATCCTCTATTGAAAGGAACATTACATTGGTGACCACAAGCAATGATGTCGTGGCTGGTACATCTGTTACTCTTGCCTGCACGGCTTTTGGCATTGACGAAATAAAATGGAACGGTCCAAGCGGCCAAATTACGTATTTCAGTGGCTGTAATGAATTATCTGAATTTAATGGGCCAGACGTAGACCGTTTTCGTATAACCTGCTCGTTCGAGATTGGTTCACGGTATGGCACTGTTAGTAATCTAACAATCATTAGTTTTGACCCAGGGAGGGATCAAGGTAGCTGGGGATGTTTTGATGGCACCGCACAAGCAGCTGATGCATACATCTCATTGACCTCTCAAGGTAAGTTGGATAAAGCTGATATAAAGCATATATATATTTGTCCTATACTACTTAGTCGGCTTTGTACTTGTACATACCTTATAACTAATCTAGATGATCTTAGAGGAGGGGAGAAGGTGGGGGTGGTGTGGGGTGGACGAGTGGTCTAACATTGGGTGGTTTTTATCCTCAGCTTAAGTGGTAAGGGTTTCCTGCCTAATGTAACACTATCTTAGTGATAACAGAGATCAGTTTAGTAAATAAAGGATTTATTTACATCAGGAATATATAACAGCTACAATTACATACGTACAACAGACTAAACAATTTATTTTTGAAAATGTTCAGGTATGTCCCGAACGTTTACTTTCATAAAGTTCTATGCACCTAAATGATCGTTCAATTTGATGAAAGGTATAGATCACTTTGTCACACTAAATTCGTTGGTTTTCGCCGGGTCCTCCGGTTTCCGCACACTGCTAAAGACCCCCAGGTGCATTTATGTCATTGAAATATCATTCAACCATGGAAACAAAACGAAATGGAGTTTAACGTCCTATTTTTCTGCACCAACCGGACCGAATACAATTTTCCTTGTCAGACCCACCAGCCTACACCATTGACAATGGGAAACCATGCTAGCCAACATCGGGTTTGAACCCCGGACCTCCTAGTTAGTGGACCAGTGCTTTACTCACTGAGCCACTGCGACTCCAGTAAAATTTGAGTACCTATTGGTCCGCAAACGAGTAATCATGTCTTAGTATAGTATCACATTGGTATCCCAAGTGGTATCGTTCCGTTTTACTCCATTAACCCACGGGGTTTTTACGAATTCAAATTATCTGCCTCGTAGGTTGATTCTAAGACCCAATAAAACACAGTTTATATACGAGTCTTAGCGCCCTTGTTTACGTTCACCACAATACAACAGCTTGTACGCTCGATTATGAAAAGGTTTGCAAGAAATTTAATATCAAAGAAGTGACATGCTCATAAAGCGACGTCCAAATTATTTTGACAAAATTTGCAACGACGATTCTGCAAGTTACTTCCCTTCGCCAATTGGCTTTGTATTTCTGGATTTTTTCGGTTGGTCGATAAAAATAGCACATTTATCAGGGTAGATATTTTAGCGAATCCGGCGATCTTAGTTGCAATGAAATGCGAGTTACTTCTCTTCGCCCACTGGCTTTGTATTTATGGGTGTTTTTGATCGGTCAATAAAAATAGCACAATTATCAAGGGTGGATAATATGACTAATTGTCTCCCCCGTATTTGGATCCAGGGGTAAGAACAAACGATACCACTGGACTAGGGATACCGAGGATGGTATAGTATAGGTTTAGCTTCAGTTTGTGATATTAGAGACGTTAAAATGAACATTGATGTAGCATTAATGTTTACAGTTTAATAACATATTCGTTATCCGTAATAACAGTAAAATACGCACATAGTCTGTGAGTCCCTTTTGTCGCATTTTAGTATCTGACCCATCTAAGTCAATTTTATTTTAAAATATATTTTATATTGATTTTAGAGGTTGGTATCAAAAATATCCATATAACTTCAACTCCCGGTTCTGTAACAGCGACCAACGAACTAACATTGTTAGAAAAAGAGAGCGATACTTTAACATGTACAGCTGAATGTAATAGTACCTGTCAATATAAATGGATGAAAGGAACCGAATTAGTAGCATCTACAAGTCAACTTTCCTTAAACAACATTACCTCTACAGCATCCGGACAATATATATGCCACGCATCTTATAATGACGTGGAACTGACTAAAAGCTTAAGGGTATCAGGTAAATATTATTGCTTTATTCCTCAGGTTTGTACAGTTCATAAAACTGTGGATAAAACCACCAAATCCTATAGGGTCCGTTTTGCGAAGCGTACGCAAAGTTACACATGTCATTTAATTAGATATCTAAAATTTTGGACCGTAACTGCGTTAAGTATGACTCTTTCCTTTTACTCAAAATGTAACTATAATGTTTGTGATATCTCTAGTGTGATGAATCGATTCTCATTATTCTCGGTAGGTCCGAACCCTATCCATAACCCCCTTTGCCGAAAACCTTGTGAACCCGATAGCGCAATCCCATATTAGCAAGGAATCTCCGTTAGCGCAAAAGGAAAATTTTAATTCCAAATTAAAAAGGAGTGGTTACACGGTTTTGATGCTTACAGGGTCTAGTGGACTACAATAATTTGGGTGGACTGACATATTATATGTATGACCATATTATGTTGGTGTAGGATTTTTAAAGTATTTCAAGTCTAAACACCCATACGTATGTACTAAATTAACAACCTTCAATGTATTTTATTTGTAATTTTAGTCCTTCAAAGAGATTACGTTATATTTGATCCACCAGGGGATTTAATAACGGTAGCCGAAGGACAGACGATTTCTATAAATTGTTCGGCTGAAAATGGTATGTGCGACCAAAATGAATATCGTCGGTGTGTGAACTGTTGGGACAATCATTCAAATACTGCGGGTACTTGTAAGCATTTGGTAATTCCCAACGCAACACCGTCGATGGCTGGACTGTACAGATGTCATTATACTGAAGAAGAACCTGGTATTAATGCCCTCTGGAGTACTTTCAAAACTTTAGAAGTGCGGGTTCTGGGTAAGTTGTTCTTACTATTCTATTACTGTTTGGTCTTTAATGGTGGTATCTTATATAGTTGTATATATGTAACACTATCTTAATGATGACAGAGATCAGTTTAGTAAATATATGATTTATTTACATCGGAACAGAGTACAATACAACTAATAACTACATCAGGAACTAATATTAAACAGGAACTAGACTAGGACAGGAAAACATCAGGACGGTACATAACTATATTAAATCCACCAGTCCGCCCTTCTGCCTAGGCAGCGGCTGAACTCGGGTGAGTCCATGTACTCGCCCAAGCCTCTCTTTCCACCCCCTTGTCGTATCTGGTCGTCTTTCTAACTGTCAGCAAACTCTCGATCCGACAATAGATAAGACTCATGATCATACATGCAATTGTCTCTTTATCACGCAATGGTATGCTTACTGACCAGTGCGTATTCCTTTGAAGTCATGCGGAGCTTGTACACAGATCATATGTAGTTTGTAAATGACATATGGGATTAATTACATGTTTAATTAGATCATAGCCAGTCCGTGCCTTAACAGAGGTATATACAATATCATATATTATCAAAACAAGCTTAGTTCTATGCACCTAAATGATCGTTCAATTTGAAGAACGTTATAGAGCACTTTGTCACATATACTACATTAAAAGCACATTATTCCAGACAAAAACGAAAATATGGAATCACGGAAAGAAGTCTTAATAGCATGTATATTGATCCACAATTATTCATTATATTGATTTCAAGGGTCTTGCTGTCTATCAACTGATGAATGTCTAATGGACAGCAAGTAGTTGTCATGCACGAAACGGTCACAATTTGCAAGATATGGACAGAGAACAGAGGGAATCAATAGGGCTCATCCTCTCATTATCCCCATGCTTCACATCACATTGTTATACAAAATAGTCTCATACACACACTGAAAAAGGCTCAGGTTTTGAAATAGTGTCCTTATTGAGGAAGGCAATTGGATAGTTTTACCCCAATATGGGGGCAAAATGAACAATGGACGAAATATACATTGTTTAATATGTTGATTTATAACATTTTAATACATTGTTTTCTCCAGCCTATTTTGCATTAACAGAACAACTCAGAGTGAATATACTTGCTATAGACCTTATGTTGTAAGATACGGTGTTTCAATACCGGTCGTTATAAATTTGTTTGTTCTGTAACACAAGTGTATTTACTAAAAAAAAAAGTGAATGTGTGTTAAATGGGCATTAGGTAAGATAAGATAAATAGCTGACAGTTCTCACTACAATAGTTAGAAAAATAGATGATGAAAACATAATATGCTGAAAATTTTAGTCAAATTGCTTCACTCTGAGCCGAAATTTTAGCCCAGCCTTGATCATCATTACTAACGCTGGTTCTATAATAAACAAAGTATCGATTATGCATTTTTACGTTGATTTATCCACCACAAAATGTATGCAAATCAACTAAACATCAAAGTCTAACGATGGCATCGAGAATTGATTATGGTCTGGATAAGTTAATGTCTAATTAATAATTTAGATAACATTTCAGCCCTAAAGAGAGACTTGCAATAGGCAGATTTAGCTCTCGTATTAAACAAGAAGTAATTGAGTTTTGTGGTGCACCAAAATCAAACACCTTCAAGATCTTTTGATCCCTAACATATTTGTTAAGTTTCATCTGAAAAGACAAAAAGTTGTAGGCTCTGGGGAGTCTGCAGACTTCATACATATTAAACTGTTTGTGTAAAGGGGAGCAGCGATTTGGACGGGAAGTTTCAATCCGATTTTTGGGGACAATGGTGGTTCGGTGAGTAGGATGTTGGCTCGGTAACCAGCAGAGTCCGTTGGCCGAGAAAGTTCTTCAGGATTTTCCAACGTCTTTCCTTCTTCTCAGTGACAGGGGGCCTGGCAAGGGACAACGTATAATCGTGCGGATTGGACGAAAAACCGAGGTCTCGTGAACAGACTAACTAATTATGGTTGGTTTAAACATATTTTATTGCATCAACAAACATAATTTTTTGATACAACTGGATTGGACAAAAGTTATTAAAACTTACAAACGTCCTTTCCATATTGAGAAATTGTATAAATATAATAGTGTAGTTTACTTGGAGAATTGTGACATCTAATATACATAATTAATAACAAACAGATAAACAAACAAACTGTAATGAACAAGGTACAAATGAACACAGCTTACAAACAACATTTAAAACGTTTAGTTGCTTTTATAATGAACACACCTTTTCGAATAATGAGTTGATTTGATGTTTGGATAAATAATTGCTGTCGCCCCACAATAGAGTGTGCACATTAATCGTAGGGAAACATATCTTTATGAATACATTAAAATTAAATTTGGGCTTTTTATGTTAATGTGTGTTATCTTCGGAAGTTAAGTCCACTAAACTAGCTAGCAATGCGCCTGCCTGTCGGTCAAGCTACATAAACCAATGAGAATAAATTCGGTGTTGGATTTTCTTTTCCAGCTGGGCCATCGTCAATTGTCATATATCCCAACGTTGACGTTATAACATTAACACCAGGATCAACTGTAACGTTGAATTGTTCAGCTGAATGTCAACTAGAATGTAATTATTCCTGGAAATCTGTGAGTGATCCGACAGTAATTATTTCTACTACTGCCGCTCTCACTATATCAAACATCTCTAGTTATCAGCAGGATCAATACATATGTACAGCCAGTAATGTCGGTGGAAATTTGACAGGAATGATATATGTAGAAGTATGGGGTACGTTGTACATATGATTTTGATTTTATTAGAAATAACTGGTATTGACTAAATGGGAAGGTATTCCTTCGCAGAGCTCTCTTGGCAATATCTTTAATCTGATTAAAATACAGATCTGTATTTCGTTTCGTTTTTTATAGTTTTGATGACCTCCACTACATGAAGATCTGACCGGCTGTAGTGGGAGGTCGCTTCAGGGGTCGCACGAGCGGCTTTTGACCCTATGATGTCAGATATTTGATGAACCAATCAGCGTTGATGTTTTTAGTGGGATACCCACAGTTCCGTGCACTGCACGCCAAGAACTCGCCGCAACAAATCGATTCAATGGCTAATACCTTAAATCAAACAGAACGCGGGTTATATAATAACTATTCCAGATCCTAGTGTAGTAAAGACAAGTAAAACGAAATGTTGAAATATAAAGTACGAAACTAAATATGATCTGTGTTTTGATCAGATTGGCAATATCCCTGTACGAGGTTTACAAATCAAATTAAAAAATGAACGAATTATGAGTTGCATACTTTATTTGATAAAATAAAACCAAGTACGAACAATCCAAACCATTAGACAAAATTCGAAGTCCTAAAAAATCGGTATAGGCAAAATGGTGTAATCAGCAAATGGACTGCTGATTAAAATAGTCTGCAAACACCGGAAAATCGACAGTTATGTGAGAAATATACTAAAGGCCAAAAAAGCTATCACAGTACAAAAACAGTTGGTGCGGGGTGGAACTACACAGATACAAAGATTCTTTAATATTAGTCTCTATCATCCAGAAAAATATTCTACGAATATTAGTCTGGATGTGTTGTCAACATTTGAGAATAATAGGTCATTGACTAGATTATCCTGTCTTTTACATTATCATAAACAAAGTCTAAGGGAGGTAACTTGTCCTAAAAGAAGATGATGACGTCCATGAAATTAATTTAAGAATGCCATTTCAAAAAGTCCATTTGATTGCATACCAGTTCAATATCCAACACTCTTATTGTTTTTTATTGTAAAATTCCTAATTCGTCGTCACGATTCATGTTTGTTTATATTAATGCAAGAATTATGGGATTTATTGCAGGAAGGGGCGCAACTCTTACTTGACTTGGTCAGAAGATACTGGATAATCAACCACATTAAAAACCAAACTCCCGGTTACGCATGGGCAATGGACTTTTCGTCAAATATTTACAACGGTCCCAGACCCCCCTTGCGTTGAAGACTAGGAGGTTCTGGATGACCGAGACTACTTTAATATACGGAATTGAAGTTGGCCATTTCCAATTATTAATTACCCTTGGATATGCAGCATTATATCCCAAATATATTCTTATTTGAACCAATATGCCAGTTTCCCATATCATGTTATGCGTTGATTTTGAGAGTTATTTAAATTAGTATGGATTGTTGTCTTTTAGAAAATTATTTTGATGAATCAGCTAACTCCAGTCTAGTGACATCAAATACTAATCCTGCTCCTGGTTCATCTGTAACTTTAACTTGTTCTGTAAAACGAAGTGCTACAGGTGGTTCACAAGAGGAAGTAGACTGGTATGGTCCACATGGTGTGGTTGCTGTCTTTAAGTGGTGTTATAGATTAACTTCCCTTGATGGACCAAATATAACAGATTATACAATAGATTGTATTGATGGTAGCACTACAGGGGATGGATGGACAACCAGTACATTAACTATACATAATTATATACCAGAAAGAGATGCTGGCAATTGGAGCTGTTTAGATGATACAATAGGTCCCTCGTTAAAGGTTATTTCACCAGGTTAATACACTTAAAATGAATTTCTGCTGACATTGTGTGTGTGTGGGGGGGGGAGAGAGAGAGAGAGAGAGAGAGAGAGAGAGAGAGAGAGAGAGAGAAATGGGGTTTGACGTCCACTCGACACAAACTAGGTCTTTTCGGGACTAAGATATGGTTCAATTTTATTTCAATAATTCGCTTGCGCATAGGGGTCTTTAGCATTCCCCTAACCCTAAACCCTAGAGGAGACAGAGGAAACCCACGAGGTTGGACAGGCGACCCTACTCCTTGTCACGTACAACCGGGGAATCGAAACCACGCCAGTTGACTCAATGACAGACCTTATGATACAGCGCCCACGTACTAACAATACCGCCACCCAACCCCCCGCTGAGATTGTAATTATAGATATATGAAAACATTGTTATTTGATCAAGGGGAATTACGCTTAGTGTTCCATTAAATTTGCCTGATTTTCACGAACATTATTTAACAAACTATCATGTTTAAATTATTAATTGCAGATTAGTGTAATGGTATTGTGTAGCGCTAAAATCTCGCGTAATTAAGTATTTCGAGCATGTGTATAAAGAAATAATTACAATAGAATGGGCGTTTTAATGATGAAATTGTTCCAACAAATGCTTATATGTATTGTGTTTCTTGATCAAAGTAAGATAATGTCTGAAGATTCCATCAGACAAAGATAATTTCTTACGATTCCACCATAGAAAATAATTGCTTATGGTTAACCCTTCGTTGTAATCTAGGTCAGAACTATACGCCCTATACAAAACGAATTACACCCGTGTTGGTGTAATGATTAAAATGGAAGTGTAATTAACGAAACATCTTTGAGAGTTTAAAATGCTTAATCTACACCCATGGGTGTAAACTATTTAAGTGTAACATTAAACTGTCTGGGTGCATCAGACAGGTTACACTACTGAAGGTGGCAACTAGTTTCCACCTGAATTGGTGTAATGTTCTACACTAGTTGGGTGTTATCAGTTTACACCACTAAAGGCTAGGAGTTGCCCCTATTTAGGTGGCAACTAGTTTCCACCCGAATTGGTGTAAACTACCTTATTAATTTTAACAATGTAGTACAAGTGAAGGTGGTATCTATACTTGTACAGCAACCAACACTGTAGGAAGTGTGACAAAATCTACTAATGTTGTAGTGAATTGTAAGCATATTTGAAATTTTAATATTAATATTTTAATTAACGGTTCTTCGTGACTAAACATATTAATAACATAATAAATAATTCCAGTTTAAAATGGTATACATCAGTTAATATGTTATTTTTTTTTATCTTAGATGGACCATCATCCGTAATAATAACTCCAACATCAGACCCAGTAACAATAACTAATGGAGAATCTCTAAGTCTCGTTTGTTCTGCTGATTGTCAACCAGATTGTAATTTTACATGGACCTACAACAATGTTATTGTTTCAACTACTGCTACTTATACTATAAACTCCATTACTAATAGCCAAAATGGTATTTATACCTGTACAGTGACCAACGTCATAGGTAGTGCGATTAAATCTACCAAAGTTGCTGTTAATTGTAAGTTTTTATCATAGATTAATTTTCTGGAACAGGTACCTCGCAAAATATCTCTGCACAGGTCTATTTCATCTTAGTATATCGTATGTAAATTAGGTCTCTATTAAGGTTATATCCTCTGACCCTAACTACAAAATAGAAGTAGTAAAAACCAAGGCCCGCGTATCAATTTGCAATCCACCTAAACGGTGCCTTACCAGCTGGAATTCAAGCTTCGCTATCAGGGCCATCAGATAACCTTGAAAATTAGCTGTAATTGGCTATATAATAGTCACTCGATCGACACACACATCGCCACAGTTGAGTTAATTTCTTATATCGTTTTTTTCCAGGTGGACCATCGTCAGTTTATTTTATATTTGTCAACGGTCGTTGGGTCGTTTACATACATATCCACTAAGTGTAGTGTATCTTTTTTTCCAGATGGACCATCATCAGTTATAACAACCCGGACTGAAGATCCTGTAATATATATCCACTAAATGTAGTTTATCTGTTTGTTTCCAGATTCACCATCATCAGTTATAATAACCCCGACGGAAGATCCGGTAAATGTGCAATATGGAGAAAATGTTAGTTTTGTCTGTTCATCTGATTGCAAACCAGTTTGTAACTATAGGTGGGAATATAACAACGTGGTAGTTTCCACTAGTGCTACGTATACTACCACTATCACTCTAAATGGCACTTACAGCTGTACAGCTAGTAATGATATTGGAAGTGTCGACGTTTCTTCAAATGTTGTCATTAAAAGTAAGCTAATTTTATCAAAGTATTATATTTCCTTATTTGTCAACGTTCGGTTTTCATGCCATTAGTCACATGACCTTTTATGTGCTAAATTCAGGTTCTAATTTTGTTATATTGTTGGTGTCCTCCTGTCCAGTTGCTTACTCGTTTGAATTACAAGTATAAACCGTTGTCCAATTTAGGAGGTGAATGGCGTTTCTTGCTACCGTTATTGTACTGTAGTGTATACATGTTTTTGTGTGTTTTAAAGGTTATATAAAAACAGTTGTCATCCAATCAGATGGCACACCATCAGCAATGGAATCGGGTAGTTCAATAACTATGACGTGTGAAGCTGATTGTATGCCTATACCAAGCTGTAATTATGCGTGGAAAGACAAGCTAAACAGGATTCTCTCGGTGGGAAGGGAGGTTACTCTTCTAAACGTAACGACATTTGACGCTGGGATCTATACTTGTATGGCAAGTAACGACATGTTCAAATCCGCATCAATCGAGGTTGCGATTAAACGTAAGTGGAATATTAACTGTAAATGATTCAGATTCTAATTTTTTTTTATTATACATCAGAAACTCAAAACCCATGAAAATATCCTCGGATGTTCATTAAACTTGCATTTAGACAAAGACGGCTGTCTAGTCGTTCCGATGGGATGATAAACCGAGGTACCGTGCACGTAAACGATCCATTGACAGTTGGAATTCGATATAAGAGTGGGCCGTAGCGCCGCTGTCCGGGCAAAATGTCCCTCATAGCATACTGCATGGCGCATGCCCATCTTCATAAGCTCAGTCGGAGTAGAACAGTAGGACGTTAAACTTCATTTCATTTCAAACTTGCATTTACAAACAGGATTTCTGACTGTCTTAATGAATATCTATGATTTGTTTGAACTATGGCTGATATACTCTTGCCTGCCTGTTTTATGTTTTCTCAGATGCACCCGATGCAGCCAACATGGTTATTCGGAGAACACCTAACCGGTCTTCTTATGACAAGGGATCGAGTATAACATTGGGCTGTTCTGTGAGCTGTGTTCCCGACTGTACAGTTCAATGGAGTAAAGGAACGACCGTTTTTACGACTTCAAATGGTCTTTTATCTTTACCAGCTTTAGCAACGGATGATGCTGGCACATACACGTGTTCGGCTGGTAATTCAATGGGCGGTCCAATCGAGAAAACTACCAAGGTCATCGTTAAAGGTGAGCATAAAATGACGACACCTTCACAAACCATAACCGCGGGGTGTTGAGGGATGGCCTAGTGGTCTAGAGTGCCACGCTCAGACCTCTAGCTGGCCGGTCATCTGTGGCTTGCGGTTGTGGTTTCGATCCCTGGTGTGAGCGTATGTAGCTTGGAGATAGGGGCGCCTTCTCAACCTCGTGGGTTTAATCCGGGTACTCCGGTTTCCTCCCACAGAAGACCCCAGCGCGTGCGCTGAGATAATGAAAAAATAAGACTTTTCTGCGATATCACCTTCGGTGGAAGCGGACGTTAAACACTTAGAACAACAGCAACAAACCATAACGATTTGGTGAAATCATCCCAATTTGTAAAGAAATCGATTAACGCCCCAAAATGTCAGATTAAAGGAAAAAATAATGGTGATGAAGACCATACACAATGTAAAGTTTTGTAAGAGCTAAATCTGCCTTTTGCAGGACATCTGGCTTCAAATGTTATATAAATTATTATTAGACGTTTATGCACATGCCGGGCCAATAATAAACTCCCTATACCATCAGGTGGTTGGAATATTAAATGGATTAGAAGTTAATTTAACGAAAAAATAGATAATCGAGACTTTTCTATTGTGCGATATTCTTGTCAAACATTGATATCTTCACTCAACATAAAGTAATTTGACCGGAATTTACAGTATACGTATTCATATTTCATTATCTTTTTTGAGAGTAACATAGCGAAGACGACCAGCATTTATCTAAATTTTACTAAATGCATCCTCAAATTTGATTAATTGATGGCTATTTAAAAATTCCATTGGTTTCTGGGCGTGTGGTGGGGCGCGAAAGGTTAACACTTTCGCGATGTATCATAAGGTCATCCATTGAGTCAAGTTGCGTGTTGCCGATTCCTCGATTGTATGTGTTAAGGAGTAGGGTCGCCTGTTCAACCTCGTGGGCTTTCTCCTGTGTAGCACTATGGGCCTTTCTGTCTGACATGGAAAGCGGGGATACCAAAAACCGGTCGCCACATCCTACTTACGACCCATGCATTTTTTCTTACTACATATCTTAGTAGCCTTGTGATCGTCTAGAATTTGTCTCTAGCTGTCTTTACTTCTGCTTCAACGGTATTTACTTCTTACTGTTTTCTTAAGAGGTTTGTCTTCTCAGTGCAACAGTTCGTTTTTACATTTTATATATCAAGCTGGATACATATAAGCATAGTACAGATTACAATACTAACTAGAACTGCGATGCAGTAATGACGGGTTTCACCGGTGCCCCGTTACCCTTGAACATATGTCACTTCCGGTACCGATGAAACCATTAAACAGGTTTCCATTTAAGCATTGAACACATCACATAAAATGTACGGAGAATCAATTCATTGTATACATTCATTACATGTAAGTGATCCTGACAACATTACATTACTTCCGGTGATAATGAAAATGTTAAATTAGTTTCATGAAATCAGAAATAGCATAAGGCATCACATGGTGAAAATTTTTATGTAAATCGAATAATATTTGCCACTTTTATAGACCAAAATCCTTGAAAAGTGACTTGTCGAAAATCGTCTATTTCTCTGCAACCGTACAAGTTAGAAACCATTTTTTGGTATTTGTATGACCGTGTGGGTTCAATCTATTTGTTGATTGGAATCAAATATCATAATTTTAAAAACAATACAAATCAGACTCATTTGAATAAAATATCTGTTTTGGAGGCTAAAAATACAGTTTTTGCCACAATGACGTTACTTCCGGTAACAGTAAAAGTGTAAAATTACTTGTATGAAATCGTAAATGGCATTAGGTATCACACACGGGGAATTTTATGAAAATCGAATAATAATTGACACTTTTATGGACCAAAAATCTTGAAAAGTTACCTGTTGAAAATCGAATAATAATTGACTCTTATACAGGCAAACTAGCGTAAAAAGTGACTCATACAAAATTGCCCATTTCTCGGCAACTGTTCATATTAAAAATTAATTTTCACATACATTCTCTTCGTATGGATTAATGCTACTAGTTTATGAAAGTTGCGAAGAAATATTTTAAAATATGAAAAGCCTGAATGGGTTGTGAATAGCTCATTTTTTCACCTTTTTTCACCTTTAAATCGAAATGATCCGAAAACGAAATAAAAATTTAAAAAACTGAGCGCGATGATTTCTGCGCGTTAACAGGGCAAACCGTTTCAGTCATACCAGATTTGAAAAAAATAATATTTGCTTTCAAAAAGTGGTACCGAACTCTCAAAATTGCAGTTTTTGCTAAAATTAGCCAATGGGGGCCAAGGAAAAATACGGTGACAAAAAATGTTGACATTTTTGTCAAATCAGATGACCCTTTAACCCTTGGTAAAATACTACATAAAAATATCCATTAATAAAAAAGTTTTTCGTAAAAATTTAAATTTTCAAAATTTGCCGCCTAATATCTCCGAAGATTCGTCGAAAATAAAAAATCCAAAGAAAATGTATCAAATATTACAATCCGACAATTATTGATAGCATTGCGGCAAAATATCGAAAAACGACAAATAGTTTCTGAGATATGCTCGAATGGAAAAAAAATAATAATAATAATAATAATAATAATAACTAGAAATGCGACGCAGTAATGACGGGTTTCACCGGTGCCCCGTTACCCTTGAACATATTTCACTTTCGGTACCGATGAAACCATTAAACAGGTTTCCATATAAGCATTGCACACATCAAATAAAATGTACACAGAATCAACCAAATCCAGCAATATCAATTCATTGTATACATTTGTTACATGTAAGTGATACTGACAAAATTACATTGCTTCCGTTGATAATGAAAATGTTAAATTAGTTTTATGAAATCAGAAATGGCATAAGGCATCACATGGAGAAAATTTTATGTAAATCGAACAATAATTGCAACTTTTATAGAAACCTCTTTTTGGTATCGGTATGATCGTATGAGTTCAATCTATTTGTTGATTGGAATCAAATATCATAATTTTAAAAACATTACAAATTAGACTCATTTTAATAAAATATCTGTTTTGAAGGCTAAAAATACAGTTTTTGCA